GCCTAGGTGGCAGGGCAAGGTGGCCAGAGGCAGGGAGGTCAAGCGGGCGTTGGATGGATTCTGCTGGATCGGGATTTGTGCCTGGAAAGCTCTGATCGCCTGGCACACCCGCAAGACCCGTAACGTTCGAGGGACCGGCACATGTACCTCAGACGGGCGGTCTTTGGAGCCTGTGCGCACTGGCGTGTTTGCGGGGCCACTGCCATCTGGGCGGATACCTTGCAGTTCTGCGGCCGTTATCCGTACAAGCCGAGTGATCTCGTCCAGTGGAACTATCGTGCTTTCGCTCTCTGGTTGCAGACTTGGGGGGAGGAGGGGGAATGCGGCAGGGACGAGACGTCAAGGCCAAACGGCGAAAAATGTCTGCCAGCGGGCATGGCCATGGCCGCAGTCGGGTCGCCGTGGAGAGATATCCATGTCGGATTCGGACGCCGGTGGAGACCAAATATTTGAAGCATTGTCGTCGTGGATGACGGGGAGGGGGTGGACCATCCCCACCCCGCCTGTCCTGGAGCTCCGTCGTTGGCCAGTCAGGATTCCTCGCACAAACTCACTGGGCTATCAGGCCAGGCTGCGAGGGCAGACCGGGAAAGGTGATGGATGGCGGGCAAGTTTGCATATGCAGGCATCGTAGAGGCGCGGGGCCCTACGCGGGCAACTCCCAGTTGAGCTGGCCTCTGAAGAATGAGGAATGCATGTGCTGCAAGGTGCTGGGATCAGCCAGGGGGGCGGGAGGGGGCGCTCGCTCCAACGAGTTCTGGTCACGATGCTGGGCCTTGAGCAGGTTGGAGGTCTGGATCGGCAAGGTGTTGCTAGGTGTGCCGTGTGCAGTGTGCCGTGTGCTGTTTGCTGTTTTGCTGTTGCAGCTTGCGGTGAACAGAAGGGCAAGTGACGGGACAGGGCTGCCAATATCAAAGGGCTGGACTCGGCTGAATTCATGGTGATGTGAAGAGATGCGGTAAAGGTGCAGGCGGGAGATGCAAAGGCCGGCGCAGACGCAATGCAGACATGGTGTCTGTCTGATGTACATGGTAGACAGCAAGAGCGATGGAAACCCACACTGTTCAACCTCTTTCCTGTCTGTACATGTAAACATGGCAGGTGCGTGGCCCGCACAAGTAACCTACCTACCTACCTTTACAGTACCATGTACAGTACCATGTACTCTTTCTTCCTTCCGAAATGTCGCGCGCTCCATTCCGAGATATCGCCTTGCCGACGCACGCCGGGTTGTTCTTTCCCCTTCAGACATGCTTCGTATACACCTGGATTAGACGTTCCTGCTATAACCTGCTATAACCTCTACCTGCCTCACCTTATAGTTGCCTACCTAAACTTACTTACCCTCCGATATACAGTCCCTGCTGCCACGTACCATGTACATGCCCAACAGGGCTCCGAGCGGGGGCCTCTGGACCCACCGATTCACTAGCCTCCACCTGACACTGTTCCTGACGAGGACGACTATTTTCTCTGCCCTGGTATTCCCCTCGACCGCTGGCGGTAAGTCACCTGACTCGCCGTCAAACAATGCTCATCTCGTAGAGTTGTGATCCAGGAGCAAGGAGACGGAAGGCACAAACACACAACAGAAAGGCCTTCTGCCACGACACCAGCAACCCCACTTGCTTCTTCCTTTGCATTTCCTGGGCCTGGTCCTCAATCCTCGAGCATGACCTCAATCCTTGAGCACGACCTCGATCCTCGAGCATGACCCTAATCTTCGAGCATGACCTTCGTCCTCGAGCAAGACCACGCCAAACGTGGCCATCACTGTACCGACTGGAAGAGAAAGTCTTGTTGCCTCTCTCGAATATCAGCCTGCGGTCGATATCCATGCAGCACCCAATGACAACTCTCTCTCTCTCTCTCTCTCTCTCTCTCTCTCTCTCTCTCTCTCTGTCTCTCTGCCCGCCGTCTTGGCCGCCTCAGCTCGGCACCCATCAGCAACCAAGGCCCTTCAAAGCTTGTGCACAGTCTGCCATTTGCGCCATACGGACAGCTTCCATCAATAGGTGGTGGCCCACCTCGCCCACCCTATTGCGTCCCATCCATGTCGGTACATGGCCGCACGACGCCGCACCAGGTCTGGTACATGTACACAGAAAGAGGACGCATCATGTACCCTACTCGCTCCGAACCTTACCTTGGTCCCGACGAACACCTACGGAATGGAACACAACCTGGTGGAGTGTCAGGCAGCGCGAGAGCTTGCTTGTGGTTACAGCTATCCTCCCTCGCTCGGCAGTCTCCGTGCCGTCTTTCTTCGCTTCGTTTCTCATTATGCGCCGCCTGGTAGACAACCGGCCACAGTCGGACTGGTCGGGGCGATTGACACGGCGTCTTTGTCCTTGGCCTCCGCTGGATTGGTCTGTGTATGCCCCCCCCCCTCTCCCCTCTCCCCCATTCCTGCACGACGTGACAGGACCCCTGGTTACTCAAGGCACAGACTACGTACAGCCCGCGCCATTTGGGCACTTCTCTCCACGAGCCTTCCCTGTCCCCTTTCTCCTTTGTGTAATGTAAGTACCTTCGTCTCCCAACTCTCCATAGCTTTGTCGACTGTCTCGAGATCGTCGCCCCCCTCCCTTCTGATGCCTTCTTTCTGGCCTTCGATTATGACGACTCGAAGCTTCGGCATTTAGAATTGGAACCCAAATCAATCAATCAGCTGCCACAAAGGCCCCGAGATCGGCATCAGTCGCAACTGCCTACATGTACTCCAGCCAGCCCAGAAAACAGAAGATAGATTCGTCCAATGCAGTCTCGCGGCCCGCTTCCCGCCCCTGGACCTGACCATTGGCGCGCACAAGGGCGACTTCAACGCGTGAACAAGGCCAGACTGTTTTCGCGGTACTGGCCTTATTCTTTCTCGGCGGCTCCTCGCAGCCTGGCTGTTTTGCCGCATGGCGTGTGTAAATGACTTATATCACCTGTTTTAATGCCGCCCAAACCCCCGCGGGTTGACCGAATTTCTACAGGGGGGGTAAGGGAAGTGGTTCTGCTCCAAGTCGCTTCGGCAGACCCCTGGTCTCTAGCAATCTCATGAACCGCTTTCTTCCCCCCTCCTCGTCTTCCCCTCCCCGTTTTCCAAGACGCCTCCTTGGTCGCGACACCTGGTGCGCCCACCTCAACGCATCTGCCTAACGGCTTCTAGAAACGCGGAA